ATGAACAGTGAGAAAGAAGGAGAACCACAAAGAAGATGAAAGTGGGAGTAGAAATGTATTTTTATCTTTTAATTTATAAATTGTTTAATATTGTGAAATTTGATTTGACATTTTTATGTTAACGTAAGTTGATTATATGATGTGTTATTACACATCATAAAAAATAAGTTAAATCTCCATTTTGGTCCCTCAACTAAAAAAAATCATTGATTTGGTCCTTACTATTTACCATTTTGACCCGATTTAGTCCCTCCGTTAAAAATCCACCTACGTGTCCCGTTAGTTAACAAGAAAGGATGACATGTGAACATATTAAATACATGCAAGAAGACAGCATGGCAAAAAAATGATGATATGGCAAAAAAAAACTTAAAAATTTCTCATTCTTCTTCCTTGCCTTCAACAAACTCTAAAGAGGAAACCTGTAATTACCCCCAATAAAACCTGCAATTTCATCCTTTCATTTTTTTCTCTCTCTATCCTTCCCCCAACACCAGATCTAGACCTTTCCAATTTCTCTTTTTCTGGGTTTGAAAGCTGGGTTCAAAGGAACCCAGCACAATTGGGTTTTTTTGAACCCCAGTAGTCACTGGGTTGATTGAACCCAACAGGTGCACTTTGTTTGAAATCGAACCCAACAACCACTTCTTCTTCCTCTTCATTTCCTTTCACCTTTTGCAAACCTAGACACTTTCTAACATCAAATCCTTGTATAACACAAATATCAAACATAAACCCAGAATCTCCCCAAAATAGACATGCCCTTTTAACCTTCCAAAAAACCCAGAAAAATCAAGGTCTTCTCAATCAAACCCAGCAACAATTCTTCAATCGAACCTATCATTTTTCAATCAAACCTACATCAATCAAACCCATCAAGGGTTCTTCAATCGAACCCAACAGTGCCTGCTAGGTTCGATCGACGAACCCAGTAGTCGAACCCAATAAGACCCAATAGGACCTAGCAGGTGCTCTTGGGTTCGATCAATGAACCCAATAGGCGAACCCAGCGCTGTTGGGTTTGATTAATGAACCTAACAAGACCTAGCAAGTGCTCCTGGGTTAGATTGACAAACCCAGCCAACATTCCTGGGTTCGACGATCGAACCCAACAGACCCAGCAGGTGCTCCTGGGTTCAATCAACGAACCTAGCAAGTGTTCCTTGGTTCGATCGATGAATCCAACAGGACTCAGCAGGTGCTCCTTGGTTCGATCGAAGAACCCAGCAAGCGTTCTTGGGTTTGATTGATGAACCTAGCAAGCGTCGCTGGGTTTGATTGATGAACCCAACAACGCCTGTTGGGTTTATGAATCGAACCTAGAATCCCCCAGCGAACAAAGATCTAGGGGAAGAAGATGAACATAAGATGCTAGAGATGAAAAAGAAGGGGTAACAGAAGGAAAATGAAAAGAAATTGATGTGTGGTTAAAGATGAGGGCAAAAAAGTAATTTTAATATTATAATTAATTTTAGATATTTTAATTTTTATTGAAAATTACATGTCAAAGTTTTATATACCATGCTGTCGATCCTACATGTCAAAATATTTTTACATGTCATCCTTTCTCATTAACTAAGGGGACACGTAAGTGGATTTTTAACGGCATGACCAAATTAGGAATTTTTTGAGTTGAGAGACTAAGTCAGGGGTCCGTACAATAGTTGAGAGACTAAAATGGAAGTTTAACCTAAAAAATATGTCATTTTGAAATATTTTAACAGTCAAGTGTCACTTAATTAACGAAAAAACCAAAATTATGCAGTTTTTAAAATTGAGGGATAAAAAAAATACAAAAAATAGCTGAGAGACTAAAAAAATGCAACTTTATAATGTTGAGAGATCAAAATTAACATTTAACCTTAGAAATTTTATTTCCTAAGCCATGCCCCCTTTGAGTAGTTTTTCCAGATTCTTTTATTAGAGAAGGC